TGGCAGATGGAGTTCTTTTATTCCTTGCTTGCGTTTTCTCACTGAATGACTTCAGTGCTGTCTCACAAAGCAAAGAGAAGCCGCAAATCTGTGTCCAGAAACGCCAAACCCATCCGGTTTTGTGAGCAAATTAGTGCAAGAAAAAGCCAGTTCTTTTGAGGAATGCATTAGAGCCATCTGACAGTGATGAGGAAGATGTTTTTGATGAAGTGAAGTGCATGGTTTGGAAGAACCAACCTTCCGGGTATGAAGGATGTTACTGGTCAGCTGACCTTTTACCAGATAATTGTCTGCAGTGTTTTAAGAGGTAATAACCTTTCCCTGATGGAATGACCAGTGGCACTGTGTAATGGCAGCTGAAAAGACCATCTGCCCTGCTAGTGTGCAGCGATGCTTCTGTTCGTGTGGGGCATTTACTGGCAATCCACGTGGTCTAGGCTCTGATCAATGACCTTGTTTATGCTGGTTAACAGGCAGCTCTGATTGAACCGCCTAAACGGGGCCATTTAGTCTTGCCAGATAGTAAAATCAGAGATGAGAGAGCTTTTTGGTTGTCATGTAATATCATTTTATTTTTGTGATGTAAAATGAAAAGCAAGTTGAAATAGGTATAATATTTCTATAATTATTTTGGGGTCAGTGAGATATAAAAACATTTATTTTTATTTTTATCATCCTCCGATTTCACAGATGAGGCTTAAGCCGAGTCCCAGACTAAAACATTTGAGCTGTTTTAAATGAAAGCAACTTGCACTGACGACATATAAAATATGTCATTGCCATTTTTTTTGTCTTCAGATAAACACCAGTAATGTTTGTTTTTTTCTTCTTCCCTTAAGGCACATTTAACAGCTACTTAAATCAAATGTCCTAATTGAACTAAGGCCTAATCCTGGCTTAATCAAAGCCCTGTCTGTCAAACCAGGCCTTATTCTTTTATTCAACAAGGATGCATTAAATTGAATTTATTGTAGGTTTTTATGTTTACATTATATTTATAGTAGACTTTAAGAATGTTACAAAAGATTTATATTTCAAATAAATGCTTTTCTTTTGAACTTTCTATTAATCAAAGAATCATGAAAAGCCAAATGTATCACTGTTTCCACAAACATATTAAGCATCACCACTGTTTTCACCACTGATATAAATAATACATTTCTTGAGCATCGAATCAGCATATTAAAATGATTTTTGAAGGATCATGTGACACTAAAGACTGGAGTAATGATGCTAAAAATTCAACTTTGCCATTTTAGGAATACATTATTTTTTATAATATATTAAAATAGAAACCTGCTATTTAAAATTTTAATCATATTTCACAATATTACTGTTTTTACTGTATTTTCAAACAAATTATGAGCATAAGAGATACATATATACCTATATGGTAACACTTTACTTGAAGGGGTGTGCATAAGACTGACATGACATCTTCATAATCATGACATGACACATGTCATGAATATGAAGGATGTTTTATGCATGTTTATGACAACTGTCATTAAGTGTAATTCGCTCAATTATGACTTTTTTAATGCAAACATGACATAGCAGATTAATTATCAAACGTAAGAAACCACTTAGCTTTATGGGTTAACATTAAATTAAACTGTCAGGTTTGGTTTTGACATTGGCTGTCATGAGGCCATTATAACATTTTAATGAATTTGTCATTAAAATGTTATAATGGCCTCATGACAGCCAATGTCAAAACCAAACCTGACAGTTTAATGCAATGTTAACCCATAAAGCTAAGTGGTTTCTTAAGTTTGATAATTCATCTGCTATGTCATGTTTATGACAGATTGTGTTGTCTTAGTAATGTCAAGTTGCCATGACAAAGACACTGACAGGTTATGATGTATTGGTTTATGTCAAGTTGTCATAGCAAATACATTTTAAACAATGTCATATTTCCTTTAAAAATGTCATAATTGAGCGAATGACACTTAATGACAGTTGTCATAAACATGCACAAAACCTGTGACATGACGTGTCATGTCATGATTATGAAGGTGTCATGTCAGTCTTATGCACACCCCTTCAAGTAAAGTGTTACCAAATAGATAATAATATACATATACATGCATACATAAACACACACACACACAGTATATATGTTCATTTATTTTTTTAAATTGAGTTTTCTGTGTAGGATATATTGGCTCTCTGGCAGCAGGAGTGATTGGTCTTTCATGCAGCTCTGAGTGTGATGTTGTGGACTTTGCTGATTGGCTGCATAATCTCCGTGGCAGAGAGGAAATGGAGAGTTTAGCTCTGAAGAAGCAGCTGCTGTCTTGGAGAGTTGCCCGTCTGAAGCAGTGCGTTAATGCTGTCATGTCCCAATACAGCGTCTTAGACAGATCATATAGGGACAGCTTCTTATAATGCCTTCAATTGGATAGCACATAAAATGATGCCAGATAGACTGTACTTAGAACTTAGTTAATAGGAAGCCATATAAATGACTTCTAATCCAGCCAGTCTCTTCCCTGCAGCGTTTCTCGAGCTTCTTTTTGCAGTGGTTTATTTGAGGTTCAAATTGTGTCCTTTGAGGCAACATAAGAGATATCTAAGAATTGTAATTTTTAAAGAGAACCCGCATCATTATTTTGTGTATTTCACAGTTGAACACTTCAGTTGACCTCTGAGGTCAGGGTTTTGTATCGTTTGCTGTGTGCATGGATGCTGTATTGTGCACATTTCACCTGACTGATTCTGATTCTGCTGTTTCTCAGAATATTGGAGTCCTTCTCTCATCACCAAGGCAACCGCTGCAGTTGTGCGAGGTATCGGCCATTTTGTGGGGGAGAGGAAACTGCTTTGCTGAGAGCTGCAGGTCTGCTTTAATAAAATGGAGGTTTAAGCCTTTAAAGTAACTCATCTAATTTGACCATGTTCTCGGCTGTGCTCGATACAATCTATAATGTGATTGTGTAAGTGAATTCAAGAACACATGACCTTCAGTTTAAACTGCTCTCTGGACTGTGACCAGCTTTTCTAGTTACATCAATACAATCGCTTTAACATAGAAACTAACAGGTTTGTAAGTGACGGACACTTCGCCCATGACATTTCGATGCTGTTATATAATAGCTGGTGAGTCAGTGAATACATGTCTGTGATTTCTGAAGCTGAAAATGAGAGCGGTAATTCTTCCCACAATTAATTTAGACAAAACAGTCATTAAACTAAATGTCCCCCGAACGTATAGCAGATTGGGTTAATGGTTTTTAAAGTAATTACATATTTCAAATGTTTTGTGCTTGCTTTAATATGAGCAGGTGTTGGGGATTTATAAACTTCAGAATATATCAATCTGTTTGATTCATCTTTTGTTTATCCAATTTTCTGGACTTTTTCCAGCGATTCCTTCATAGTATACGGTCACGGCGAGGAGTCGTGTTTCTCTGCCATTTGGAGTGCCTCATTACACGTATGTCTCTGCTATATATGGATACACGAGAACAGAGCTGATGTCCTAGTTCTGAAATCTCTGCAAAGCTCGCTCCTCCTGACGCCAGCAATCTTATTCTTCTTTCTGAGCTGAATCAATAATGATTCTTAAATTGGCTCATGTGCATTGAAGTTGCAGATATGAACATTTGGAATTATTTTTGGGCATCAGTGAAGCACATCCTGGGAAAATCTCACCTTTAATACACATTATATTGCTCTGGGGTCGGTACATTTGAAAAAAAAAAAATGTTTTTGAAAGAAATCTCTTATGCTGACCAAGGATGTTTATAAGTATTTATTTGATAAAAACACAGTAAAATTAGTAATATGAAATTTTATTATAATGTAAAATAGCAGTTTTCTATTTTAATATATTTAAAAATGTAATTTATTCCTTTTGATTTTTTTCAGCATCATTACTTCAGTCTTCAGTGTCACATGATTCTTAAGAAATCATTCTAATATGCTGAGTTTGTGCTCAAGAAACATTTATTATCAATGTTGAAAACAGTTCTGCTTAATGTATATATATATTAAAAACAGCATATATTTGATATAGAAATCTTTTGTAACATTATAAAAGTCTTTACTACCATTTTTGATAAATTTAATGCATCCTTGTTGAATAAAGGTATTCATTGATTTCTTTCAAAAACTCTTACCGACCCCAAACTTTTGAACTGTATACCTTGTTCACATGTCCACAGACCAAGAAACTTAAAAAATACAGCTCAGCCATGACTGTGAGTTCTGACAAAATTTTATTTCAAATGTAAGTGTTCCAATAATAAAGTAAAACATAAATCAACAGCGATATAAATATTAGCTTGTAAAATAAAAAGGGTAACATGAGGCGCTAAGCATTTCTTAAAAGGAATCACAGTCAAATACAGAAAGGTAGCCAAGCAGCAGACAGACATTTATATATATATAGATAAGATATTCATAGTCAAACAGACAGGATTGGCATTCCAGTATCATTACCGACTGATTGGAATTACAAGCACAGAAAAGTACAGTCAGATGTGGGGAGGGGAGGTACTCTAATGACAGTAAGTATCGTCTGTTATCTTTCAAGGTTTAAAGTGATTGGAGAAAAGGAAAGAATGTGTAATCGAAGGGGAAAAACACAAAAATATGCACATAGTCCACAAGCCTTAAGCTACGATTGCGTGTCTTCAGAAGTTCTGTAGTATGTACAGTTTGGTTAGTCAATGATCTTGAACACTACACTGGATCTTTTTTTTTTTCTATCGTCTTTTTTTTGCTTTTTTAAAAAATACTGAAACATTCCTGTAACAGCCAGCCCTTGTGGCTCTAATGTTTGTACAGACAGGTTACACATTTTATATACACTGTGGTGGTGGTGGTTGGTGCAGAATCCCTCCATCTAAGATCCATTCAAGTACAGTGTTGCGCTGAAGTTAGTCATTAGTCTTTCCACATATTCATTCATGTTTTCCACCGACTCAAACTCTTAGCACGTTCACTTTGACCCAAATCAATCTCTGATCTTGACCTTACAAAGGCTGAGATTTATCTTTTCTGATCTTTAAAAAACACTGTTTACATTACTTGCAATTCCAAAGGATTTTTATATACCACGCTAACCGGAAATAATAGCAAAGAATAGTCAAACGGTGTTAACCTAACATTCAGCTCTGCTTAACTGGCTATTAATGAGAAGACTGAATCTATTTTTAAATACCATGCCAACAGTTCAGTGTCTCACCATCTGGTTTTAGACAAATGTAAATGTATTCTCTTACTCCGAAAACATCATCCTCTTTGGACTGCATAGTTCAGCTCAATACTCATTGCAGTCAAGGTAAGAGTTGTGGCACATTATGTTAAAAAGCCTAACAGCATTTCATTTTGTAACCACAAGAAGCATCTACTTTGCTTTGAAAAGAACACAAAAAAGCCTAAAACATGACATTTGAGGGGAAAAAAAATTAAAAGAAGAAATGCGTGTTCTCTTCTTGTTTTAGTAATGCTATTTACAGGACAGAGTTATCTGTCGAAGAACGAGCTTCAGGAATCTGAACACATCTCCTTTCGTTCAGTCATTTTTCAGTGACAGGAAATGCTTGATTTTTTTTTTTTTTTTTTTTTTGCGGGGTTATTGAATAATATATTGTAATAGAATTCAAAATCCAATTAATAATAATAACAATAATTAAAAAAAGGTCAATCTAAAACAAACAAATGAAAAACTCACAGACATAAACATTGAATCTTAATCTTTTGATTCTTTGACCAAACCTGTGGACACGTTTTGTGAGGAGAGATGCTCAGATCCCGGCAACATATTTCTGCAGCTCTGATAGTGCTTCCCCGTGTGCCTTACTTCTTGTCTTTCTTGGTGGGCTTCTTCTTGCTGGCGGGCGTCTGAGCTGCTTTGGGGACTTCGGCGGGGGGCAGGGCCTGAGGAGGGGGAAGGGCCTGCTGGGGTACCTGTTGCTGAGGGTTGGCCGTGAGGGTGGCGGTACTTCCCGGGATGTACACGTTCTGGCGGTACTCTGGGCCGTACTGTAGATTGTAGCGAGGGCCGAGAGTTGCAGTGGCTTCACTTGCTTCTGAGAGCAACGGTAGGGTGAGAAAGAAAGAAAAACGGCAAGAAGAAATAGGAGGAGGTATAGAAGAACAGGAGAGAGAGATGGGAAAGGTTAGAGATGGGTTGGTTCGGCACAGAGCTCATAATTCAGTCACTCAGGAACCGCATTGCAGCTTCTTCAGTGACCTGCTTCTGCCTGCCCATCCCCCATGCATTATGAATGCCGTAACATCGACATGCATCTCATACTCAGCAACACTCTTTCAGGAACAGAATGAATGTGTACTGTATACAAGAATAGAACGCACTATTTTCACAGTTCTTGTCAAATGCATTGCACTGTGACATTGTCCTCTAATGGTAGTGAGAGTGAGGCAGGTCTGCCTTTGTTCCCACAGAATAAATCTGATTCCCACCCCCCAAATTCACAACATGTCAAAGCTGTGGTCAATTTGACATGGACCCACCCTTGTGAAAAAACAAGTGCACTTAATTGTCTTGAATGTGGATTTTTAGTGTACTCTATATAAGGCCACTTAAATGTTTCATGTTTCTTTACACACTCTTAAGTACACTTTTTAAAAAGTGCACTTTGTAATCATGTAAAATTAAACTTACATTTTAATACATACATCACACTTTAAAAAAGGACACTTATTTTGTGTTGACAAACAGTATCAAGTATTTGATTACAATTTTAACGGTATAGTGTTTTTCGAACATACTGTGCATTTAAACTTGATATATTTTATAATATGTAAATACAAATATATGACATACCAGTTTTTATAGAAATGGCACTAAAGTGTATTTTAGTTTACCATAAATGCTTGTCATTACATTCGACAGTACACTTTAACCATTTTTCAAAGACAATAGAAGTAATTACGAAATTACATATAATGTATACTTAAGTGGGACAAAAAAGGCACAAGCTAATTGCATTTAATATAAATTTAAATTATAATATATTTTAATTTCATTGCCATTTACAATGCAATGAAGTGTCCGAAAACATTGCATTCAGTTTGTACTTAAGTAAAGTATTTGAAAGTATTTCATTTCCATAATAAGCCTTTTAAAAGAACACTAAAGTGTTATTGTATCTAAATGTATCTCTAAATAAACGTACTAAGTACAATTACATTGCCTTACAAGTTTGATTTAATCAGACTAAAACAATTAGTCAAGAAAACGTTTTATTCTGACTAAAATCATACCAGCCCGGTGTAAATTTGAACTAACAGATCTATAATGTGATAGTAGCTCGGCTTCATCTAGCATGTATATATGTGAACATATAGTTGATGATGCTCTTGAGATTCTGTGTCTTAGAAAGACTGCATTCATCTTGGCTAGAGAAGAACATCAGCACAGTGTTGTTGTGTTGACTGCAGCTGCTGAGAGGGAGAAAGTCTCCTTTGTCTCTTTACACTCAATTAGTTTGACTCTATAACAGTCAATAAATTGCGAAATCCATTGTGCCCCAGAAGCTGCTCTCTCTCTCTCTCTTTCCTTACATCACCCAGTTACTAGCGCTCTTCAGAATCTGATCTTGAGGACTGGTGGATCAAATACAGTTAATGTGGATAGTCTTTCCTCCTTTACAGACCAGCATGTGTTTGGATGCTGGTGGGCTGATTTGCCCCCGGCGGGTTGCTCAAATAGCTTAACCAGCAAGATTGTCATGAAAATTTAGCTTGTTAAGCTGATCAGCCAGAAGGGCATTTTCTTCTTACAAGCTAAGTTTTGCTGGTTCAAAAGTTAAATATGTGAAATATAGCAAAGGCTAAATGTGCTTTCTCCCCATGTTCTTATTCGCTCTCTTTGGAAGGCAGTTTTATAAGAGAGGGAGTTATAAGTGAGATTGAGATTCACCGTTGGCTGCCGCCATCAGAGCCTGGAGCTGTTCAGCTTCGGTAGGGGGGTTGGGCCACGGTCCTGTTCCCGCTATCACACCAGGGCCGGCACCTGCCTCGTCAGGACGCACTCCAGCCCTACACAAGAGAGAACGGGGTTAGTGACTCGACATGTGCTCACACACATTCATGGAGCTTTTTTCTCACATTTTACCTCTCGCACACATATGAGAACAGCAGCCACCAAGTTTGCTAGCATAAACGCACCCGGTTCATTAGCTGAGACAGCCATTTTGTGTGACAGGGCAGGACAGTGCAGTGCAGTTCAGTCAGAAAATGGAGGCTAAAGTCGACAGAGCCGAGGTAAGCATGATGTAAACAGACAGATGAGCTGATCAGAATACTTTTTTTGGGTCTGTTTACACCATGTGGCATGACAACACATACACTTTGCCCTTTGATTAAATCACAACGAGCTTTATTTAAAGGGATAGTTCACCCCCAAATTAAACTTTTCTCATTTAGTCAACCTCATGTTTTTCCAGACCTCTAGGACTTTCTTTTTCTTCAATGAAACAGTGGAATTCAATGGGGTCCAGTGTTTGAAATATCTTGTTTTTCTAACAAAGCTTATACGGGTTTGGAACGAGATGAGGGTGAGCAAATGATGACAGAATTAAAATTTTTGGGGTGAACTATACCTTTAAGTATATTTCTTGTTATTACAGGCTGCCCAGTTTCAAAATGTCATATGAATAAAAAGCTGGTTTTTTTTAGCTCTCTCTGCCCACACAAACAGCTAGCGTGGTCCGTACACGAGGACAGAAATAATTCTCTACTCTTTAGGGACAGACTTCACAGACTTGGCTCTACAAAGCCAAAATAAACCAAATTGGAACAAACAAGTTTAGCACAGGTAAACACAGTGCGATGGCAACCCGCAGAGCAAGATGCAACGAACAGCTATCAGCGATACACATACATCCAAAAGCCTTATTCTTTAATGAACGGAACTGCATGTATAATTTGCGTTTACATATATATATGTTGGAACAGACTGGACACAGCATGTCGCTGGAAGCTGCAGGACACGACCTAAACACAGCACTAGAAGGCCACACACCAGGTGAAGCCAAACGCTACCACACACTAGCCTTCTCTTCGCCTTCACTCTACCTGGACTTCTCGTATGGAGTCCATCTCTGCTGCAGGGTGTGGAACCTTTGTTGACTGAAAGATAAGCACAGGAGCATGCAGCTGTCACTCAATCGCCCCATGTCCAGTGAGGACGAGACTGACCAGAGCACATGGATGGGTGTTTCCTTCAAGTTTAAACCTTTAAACCACGTTGTGTCTCACAGTTGGTTAGCCTTTGTATGTTTTTTTATCTGATGATAGCTGTCATAAATAATATATCTGGTGTTTTTGCAAGATTTTTTTCACGTGATTTCTTTTGCAGGGTTTTCTACACAGGATTCTTTTGCAGGGTTTCCTTTGCAGGATTTCTTTACAGGATTATGGAACAGTGGTGACTTGTCATTGGGATCTATAATATTAATAATGGCAATAATTACAGTATTTTGGACTAAATGTAGGGATGAAAACACAGACGAAGGAAATTTTTAAAATCTTTTCAGTTCTAATCTACATGCTTTTGTCAATGAGTATTATCTCCTTAACTCTTCTGGCTGACTAACTTCAGAAGATGGCGACCACTAAAGATCTGGGCACTCAAATGTTCCCTGATCTTGTTCTGTTGTTATGCTCCGTTATCTCATTCCAATCAGACAGATTACATTAAAACTATTAATAAACAGAGAACGTAATACCACGTGGATAATCTCAAATGTTATTTAAAGGTTTTTGCGAGACAAGTAAATTGAATCCAACACTCACCCGCTTGGTCCGGGTCTCTGGTTTGGAGGAAATCGCCAATCCGAGTTAGGTGGCTTTTGCTGAAAATAAGAAGAAAAGATATTTGTCAAAATCTTGTTTGGCACAGAGATTAATATGCACTAGTTGTATGTTCTGGAGAGCAGGTCCCTCCATCCTGTCATAGGAGGTTGTACTTCTGAAACACAAATTTGTATTATTGACATCAAAGTACACTTTGAAACACATCCTCCGTTTCTCCTCAGGACTGTTTGAAACTGCAACCTTCGCCAGAACATAAAGAAAAAATAGTAGTGAGAAACAGAGTAACAAAGAAGAACATAGGGTTGGAAATAGGTTGAGGGAGAGTGTGTGTGAATAATTGAAACTTCGATCATGTCGCCTTCACGCATGAGTGCGTGTGCATGAGGAAAATACACACAAGTCTGTATTAAACAAAATATCAGCTCACCTCTGGGTGGATTGTGGATAAATCCTCTCCACAATATTTCATCATTTTGCCTTATTTGTATCCCACACAATTATGCTGCATGTCCCCACACCGGGTTGAGCCATTATGTTGCAAGAGGTTATTCAAGGCATGTGCAATGTCACAATGATCTTCTAAACTCTAGTGCAGAATTCACAAAATACAGTCTGCTGTTTTGGACTGCATAGCATGCATACACCTTTATCCAACTGCTTCTATTTCTAAATTATAATGATTACAAAAGTCAGCTTCACCTTACTGCAGAACATTTGACTATTTTTAATCATAACTCTTCTCAGGTTCATATTGTTGAATTATCCGCTGTGTCATTGGGCCTGGAAATAGCTCTGAACATGGCCTGATTATTAATACACTTGGCATTACAGGGTGCTTTGTCCAAAAAGTGAGTCATAGAGACTGAAGCCTGCGTCAATAGTAATTTATGGACATATACAGTACAGCATGATTGTCATGTTACCACAAACACATGCAGCTTATTAGTCAAATTAGTCAAAGATAACAGTAAAGACATTTATAATTTTACAAAAAAATTCTATTTCAAATAATTACAGTTCTTTGGAACTTTAAATTGTCAAATCAAAAATATTTCTCGAGCACCAAATCAGCATATTAGACTGATTTCTGAAGGATCATGTGACACTGAAGACTGGAGTAATGATTTGCCATCACAGGACTGAATTATATTTGGACATATTAAAATAGAAAACAGTTATTTTACATTACTCTGCATTTACTGAAGACGACTAAAATATAGTAGTGGGAGGAGCATAAGAGATTTCTTTCAAATACATTTAAGAATCTTACCAACCTCAAACTTTTAAAAGATAGTGCATAATATTTCCTGAAACTCTCACCTTCATGAGTGAGTGAGTGAAGAGTCTTTTTGACAGCCGCATGCTTAGATTGCTCTGTGGCGCCTTAACAAACACAAAGTCACTTCTGCTGGAGATGGTGGAGAAACCAGGAGTATATGTGTGTTTGTGGAAATCCCGAGAGGCCCCCACGACCTCCATGTATCTAACAGGACCGTCAGTATTTAGCTGCAGGTGGAGGTCATTGTGTTGGTGCTCACGAGATGCGTGCTTGAAACCAAGTTTTTGCATGAGGCACATAATGTAACCATGGTGGCCGAGCCAGCGCACTGCTAAAACAATGGTAGCCAGGAATGAGACCGCAATAATGAAGGATAAAGTGATAATAAGATACAAAGTGAGGTCAGGCCCAGTTGGTCTTTTGGAGTTAGAGCTCCTGTGTTCAGAAGAGGCGTCTGAGGCTTTTTCAGCCATGGTGACGTTAACTACCACGCTAGCGGAGAGAGAAGGCCTGCCGTTATCTTTTACAATCACAGTGAGACTAAAGACAGATTTGTTGTCCTCTGCTGTAAGTTTACGGGCTGTACGCAGCTCTCCGGTATGTGCACCTATGTGAAACATTTCAGCATCAAGGCCTGAGATTCTGTAGAATAACCAGGCATTGTGGCCACTATCACCATCCACAAATGTGATGCGATTGACTAGGTATCCGATACCGAGTGTGCTATGTACTAAAAACTGCAGTGTCCCATCAGATGGGGGTGCAGGGTATATAAGGACAGGAGGGTGATCGTTCTGGTCTTTAATAAACACATGCACTGTGGTGTTGGAGCTTTGACCTGGAGTTCCTCTATCAAGAACCTGCACCACAAATTGAAACGCATTCAGTTGCTCATAATCAAACTTTCTCATAGCATATATATGTCCACTATCTGGGTTAATATACACATATGAAGACACGGACATACCGAGAGCCTCGCTCTCCAGAATCGAGAAGGAAACTGTAGAATTCTCCCCCACATCTGGGTCTGATGCAGTCACGGACAGAAGGGGAGCATTTGGGGCATTGTTTTCAGCTATGTCTACTGAGTAAGAAGGCTGTGAAAACACTGGGGGGTTATCATTAACATCTGAAAGACGTAACACAAAAGATTCCTGCGAGGAACGAGGCGGGGAACCAGAGTCTGTGGCTATCATGGTGATGGTGTATTCAGCCAAAGCCTCTCTGTCCAGCTGGCCATCGGTCATTAAAGTGAAAAGCCCCTTATATGGCGAACTCATCTTGAAAGGCAACCCATAAGGGATGTGCACACTCACTTCACCATTTTTCCCTGTGTCTTCATCTCTGACTTTGATGAGGGCTATGACAGTGCCTGAACTCACATCTTCAGAGATTACAGGGGAAACCACATTAATGGTGATAGCAGGGGTGTTGTCATTCACGTCAATAATCTCGATTTTGATGTTGCACGAACCCTCCATGGGAGGTATTCCTTTGTCCCTAGCAAGAATAGTGACGTCATACACGTTAGCGAGCTCGTGATCGACTAGTCCTGTAACTCTAATTTCGCCAGTCATAGAATCCACGCTAAAGAGTTTCAAAACATTATCAGGGGTGTATTTATCGAACGTGTAAGATATTTCACCATTTTGACCATGATCGGCATCGGAGGCATTAAGAGTTGTAACTAATGATCTATGAGGTGAATTTTCAAAAAGCGTGACTCTTTTTGTAGGATTATTAAAGTGTGGCGCATTGTCATTGACATCTAAAATATTTATAAAAATGGCACTATTTCCAGACTTTTCTGCACTTCCACCATCAACCGCAGTTAAAATTAAGCTAAATTCACTCGTCTTTTCTCTGTCAAGAGGCTTGTTTAAGACTAAAATTGGGATTTTACTTCCGTCACTTTTAGTTTCTACTTTTAGGATAAAATAATCGTTTTGACTAATAAAATAAGCGCGCAGTGAATTCACACCCACATCAGGGTCATGAGCACTTTCTAAACGGAACATCGTTCCGGGCGCAGCCGCTTCTGAAACTTCCCAAGAAGTGTCTCGGCTTTGGAAAAGTGGCGCGTTGTCGTTAACATCCACAATTTCTAGCGTAACGCTGTGCATTTCCAAAGGATTTTGAAGAGAAACCTGGATCCGAATGTGACAATGTAAACTTCCTCCGCACAGACTCTCTCTGTCCATTGTTTGCTTGACCACCAAAGCTCCAGATGTCAGGTCTACGTCAACATATTTATCGTTAGATTCCGAGATTATTCGCATCTCCCTTAGAAGTATCACTTGAACGTCCATTCCTAAATCTTTAGTCAAGTGTCCAACAACAGTTCCTGGTTTAGATTCCTCCGCTGTGGAATATAAAAGTTCCGAAGCGTGCGTTCCAAAACACAAAGCATTAAGAACAATCCACACTGCAGCCCAGTCCAAAGATCTCTGAAAAAGCTCTTTACTCTCCATTTTTAATTGAGTATTTTCACTAGTAGCTATAGACTCCTTCGAGATTTTAATTTATGCATTTCCTAGATGCGTTTATCTTAAACGTTTTGTTTTGTATTCATCTCCAACATTGGTTGTAAGTTTCTAAAATACAGCTCTTGAGAGCAACAAGTCTGGGAGGTCTTGGAAAAGAGTGAAAAGGGGTGGGGTTAAAATCGTGCGTTTCTATTGGAGGAAAGTTACTTCGCTCAGACAAAAGCACATATGGCGCTATCCAAGGTGCTGAAAGCAGCGTCACTATCACTGTTACTTATACTGAATGTACAAACATGGACTTTAAATTACATTGTTTGACTTAAAACAAGTGTGTCTCACCTGTTGGCTCTCGAACGTCCACGCGCTGTCTGGTAATGACGCATCAAGCACGTTTAGCGTGTCTGTAAAGTTTGTGGTGCTGCTGGGCTTAACGAGGGTGAGATCACTGAATTCTGACATTGGAGAGAGATAGGAGCCAAAGGACTGACTCTGAGACATCATGTCTCCTCCCAGAACCTCCACATACTTAATGGGCCCGTCAGTGTTGAGCTGGATCTGCAGGTTTCTGTTGGGGTTCTTGTATCCAGAATCAGTTCGCCTGATACAGCAGCTTGAGCCGCCTCTACTGCCTCGCGCACATTTCACCAGTAGGATGAAAAATGTCACCAAAGACAACAAAGACACAGCGGCTAAAGAGATGATCAGGTATAAAGTAATTTTTCCACTTTTTTTGCTAGGCTCTACGTTTTTCTTATAATAGTCTGAGATGGGCTCGTGAAATCCGTCCTCTATCAGTATATCCACCGTAACCGTAGTGGAAAGCTCCGGGCTTCCATTATCCTTTATCTCTATCATCAGTCTCTGAGAGGAGTCATCCTGCTCTGAAAGAGCGCGTTTAGTCCTCACCTCTCCCGTGTGTAATTTCACACTGAACAGTGACGCGTCCGTGGCCTCCGCGAGCCTGTAGAAGAGCCAGGCGTTATGACCCGAGTCCGCGTCCACTGCTGTTACCTTAGTGACGAGATGTCCTGCTTTAGCAGAACGGGGCATCCTCTGATGAGGGACAGACCCCATGGATGTGGACGGGTAAATGACAGCAGGAGCGTTATCGTTCTGGTCCAAAATAAAAACATACACTGTGGCGTTGCTGCTCAGAGATGGAGAGCCATGATCTTTAGCCTGAACGATGACCTCAAACACTTTTATTTTTTCGAAATCAAATGAATGCATGCTAAATATGCTTCCATTGTCAGAGTTTATGTACAAATACGACGATATTGGGGTATCCCAAACTTTAGGGTTCTCAATAGAGTATGATATTTTGCCATTTACGCCGACATCAACGTCTTGGGCGGATACTGAACAGATAATAGAGCCTGGGGTGTTATTCTCTCTTATGTAGACATGATACACGCTATCAGAGAACTTCGGGGAATTGTCGTTAACATCGAGAATTTTAACTGGAATTATTGTTTTGCTACTTAAAGGCGGCGAGCCTGAGTCAAATGCAGTGATTTCTACGTTATACTCCGGGAACGTTTCGCGGTCTAAAACACCGTTTGTGACCAACGAATATTCATTTGAGAAAGAAGGTTTTAAAATAAATGGAAGGCCAGACTGTGTCTGTAGTCTGACTTTTCCATTGTCACCAGAGTCAATGTCCCGTGCGCTTATTAACGCTACGACTGTCCCGCTTGGCGCGTCCTCGCGCAAAGGACTCGGTTTAGATGTAAGCAATATCTGCGGTGGATTGTCGTTAATATCAGAGACTTCTATTTTTACCGTGCAATGGCCCTCCATTTCGGGGACACCTCTGTCTCTGGCACGTATCTCAACATTGTACATAGGAGTGGTTTCATAATCCAACTCTCCGTTTAGAAACATTTCTCCGGTTTTCTCATCGATGTGAAACAATGAGCGCAACGCATCAGACATGTGCTCGCCTAAGGAATATTTTATCTCTCCATTTGGGCCTTCGTCCAAGTCTTTTGCCTCAACTTTTAGAAATGTCGTGCCTTGTTTACTGTTTTCAGCAATAGCTACTTTGTAAACATTTTTCTCAAATACGGGGTTGTTGTCATTGATATCCAGCACGGTGACATTAATTTGTGACGTTCCAGATCTAACCGGGTTCCCTCCGTCTATTGCAGTTAACATTAGCTGATGCATCGGTTTCTTCTCGCGGTCCAAATGTTTATCCAGTACTAATTCGGGTACCTTTCGGCCATCACCAAGATCTTTTATTTTTAAACTGAAACATTCGTCTTTACTCAAAGTATACGATTTCAAAGAGTTACTGCCTACATCTGGGTCTACTGCGCTCTCCAAAGGAAAGCGCATACCAGGAACACTAGATTCTGCTATTTTTAAAATGCTGTCCGTAGACTGAAAATGCGGGTAATTGTCATTAATATCCTGTATTTCGACTTCCACTCTGTAAAGTTGTAAAGGGTCCTCGATAACGATTTGAAGAGGTAACAGACAATTTGCGTTTTCGCCACAAAGGATCTCTCTGTCGATTCTCTCATTAACCACAATCTCTCCTCTGCGTGAATCCAAGCTGAAATACTGCTTACCTGATTCAGAGGCTATTCGCAATTTACGGTCATACAACTCAGATATTTTCAGACCTAAATCTTTTGCAATATTTCCAACAACAGCGCCCACATTTAATTCCTCTGGAATTGAGTAGCGAGTCTGTCCTTCTGTCGTACTCCACAAAAGAAGAAAGAGAAAAAAGAAGAGCAAATAGTGCCTCCACCATCTCGATGCCACCCTCGTTTTCATTTTGATTTACAATCCGGACGATTCACAGTGCTGATAAACAACTAGGGATCCCAATACACGATGACAATTTAGGTTGTCCATTATGTCTAAAAAATATGTTGAAATCCATTTTATCGGAGCGATTAGAGCATCCCTCGCCTCCGCTTGCACTGAACGTTGTGATGTCAGTGGGGGAGGGAGTAGATCTCTTTGTGCAATTCTGCATGTGATTGGTGTAGGCATAAGTCGCAATAACCAATAGCAGATAACTGCCTCTTAAAGGCACCAGCACCTGCTGTCAAACTCACAACAAACAACCTTGCAAAGCCATAGTTTATTTATGCTCTCTGTATATATTATATATATTTCTATATTAATTATATAAAGCTAAATTCTTTGGGATTATTACTTTGCAATAATGTTAAAATTTCAGCATGATGTTTTATATCTGGACGTATATATATATATATATATATATATATATATATATATATATATATATATATATATATATATATATATATATATATATATATATATATATATACTGCATATATGTATGTATGTATTTTTATTTTATTTATTTTTTATGATTTCTGACAGCTCAGCTCACCTGTTGGCTCTCGAACGTCCACGCGCTGTCTGGTAATGACGCATCAAGCACGTTTAGCGTGTCTGTAAAGTTTGTGGTGCTGCTGGGCTTAACGAGGGTGAGATCACTGAATTCTGACATCGGAGAGAGATAGGAGCCAAATGACTGACTCTGAGACATCATGTCTCCTCCCAGAACCTCCACATACTTAATGGGCCCGTCAGTGTTGAGCTGGATCTGCAGGTTTCTGTTGGGGTTCTTGTATCCAGAATCAGTTCGCCTGATACAGCAGCTTGAGCCGCCTCTACTGCCTCGCGCACATTTCACCAGTAGGATGAAAAACGTCATCAGACACAACAAAGACACAGCGGCTAAAGAGATGATCAGGTATAAAGTAATTTTACCGCTTTTCTTGTTGGGCTCGATAGTTTTCTCTCTATAGTCTGAGATGGGTTCATGAAACCCGTCCTCTATCAGTATATCCACTGTGACTGTGGTAGACTGGATCGGTTCTCCATTATCCTTTATCTCTATCATCAGTCTCTGAGAGGAGTCATCTTGCTCTGAAACAGCGCGTTTAGTCCTCACCTCTCCCGTGTGTAAATTCACACTGAACAGCGACGCATCCGTGGCCTCCGCGAGCCTGTAGAAGAGCCAGGCGTTATGACCCGAGTCCGCGTCCACTGCTGTTACCTTAGTGACGAGATGTCCTGCTTTAGCAGAACGGGGCATCCTCTGATGAGGGACAGACCCCATGGATGTGGACGGGTAAATGACAGCTGGTGCGTTATCGTTCCGGTCCAGAATAAACACATGAACAGTGGCGTTGCTGCTCAGAGATGGAGAGCCATGATCTTTAGCCTGAACTACGATACTGATTAGTTTAATTTTCTCATAATCAAATGAGCTCATGCTGTAAATAGTTCCGTTCTCAGAATTGATATAAAAATAAGATAATGCTGGAACTTGACTTGAACTTAAATCCAAAACTGAGTAAGTGAGTAGAGCGTTTTTATCTTGATCGATGTCAGATGCAGATACAGAAAACAATGAAACACCTGCTAAGTTATTTTCCTGTATATAAACATTATATGAGGTCTGTGAGAACATTGGATGGTTGTCATTCACGTCAAGTACTTTTACATTTACAGCCTTTGACGTCTTTAATGGTGGAACACCAGAGTCTATGGCCAGTATTTCTACATTATATTCAGAATGAACCTCACGGTCTAATAATGAGTCAGTTATCAACGAATAGTGGTTATCGAAGGAGGGTTTCACTTTAAAGGGAACTCCCGGAGAGATAATTAGCTCAATTTTTCCATTATTACCGGAGTCCAAGTCTTTGACGGTAATCAGAGCCACCACAGTTCCCACCGTTGCATTTTCAGGCACAGGGCTCGGTAAAGATGTTAATATAATCTCTGGAGGGTTGTCATTCTCATCTATAATATCTATCTGAACCGATGACTGTCCCTCGAGCTCTGGATTCCCTTTGTCTTTAGCACAGACATCAAACGTATACGTTTTTTTAGTCTCGTAATCTAAATTTCCAATGACTGTTATTTCACCGGTTTCAGCGTTTACGGTAAACACATTTCTTACAAGTTCAGGCGTGTGCGCACCGAATGAATACTGTATTTCACCATTAGGACCTTCATCCAAATCGGTTGCTTTTATTTTGATCACACTTGAACCAACAACGGCGCTTTCTAAAACAGATGCTTTGTATGCAGCAACTTCAAATTTTGGTTCGTTGTCGTTTATATCTTGCACAATTATTTGTAGTAAAGATGTGCCAGATTTGACCGGATTGCCGCCATCTAGAGCTGTTAATATTAGTTTGTGTATAGACTGTTTTTCTCTATCTAAAGGTTTTTCAACCACAAGTTCAGGTACCATTCTTCCATCTTTTAAAACTTTAACATTAAGACGGAAAAAATTGTTACTGCTAATTGAATAAGTCTTTAGGCTATTGCTGCCAACATCGAGGTCCTCTGCACTTTCAAGGGTAAATCGTGCGCCGGCAGCAGTCAGTTCATATATTTTTAATATGGCCTCTTTAGTATGGAAGTTTGGTGCATTATCATTTATATCTTGTATTTCTATTTCAACTTTATGTAACTGTAATGGATTCTCAATAACGATCTGCAGTGGCATCAGACAACTGGCGCTTTGTCCACAGAGCGTTTCTCTGTCTATTCTGCCATTTACTACCAGATCACCCTTCCCCGAATCCACACTGAAATACTGTCTATTTGATTCAGATGCTATCCGTAACTTACGCTCGGCGATATCTGAGATGTCAAACCCAAGATCCTTTGCGATATTCCCAACGATAGATCCTTCCTTTAACTCTTCAGGTATTGTGTAGCGAATCTGAGCTCCAACTGTATTCCACAATAGAGAGAAAGCGAACAGCCAAAGCGCTGCCCATTTCCACCCTCTGATCCTCCTGTGTCTCATTTCTCTGTTGCGCTTGATATTCCCATCAACAAATCTTTATCTTATATCCATAGACAATCAGAATGCTGGTCTCCATTTTCAAATAAACATCTACTCAACGCATCTTCGTTGTGGTGATCAGCCTCATAAAGCGTTCATGTTTCCTCTCGCTCTACAGCTCATCATTGTACTCCTCCTCTGGCTGGGGGAGGGAGTAGATCCCTTTGTATGGTCTAAAGCACGATTGGTACAGAGCTCAACCCTCACTCATCCAATCGATGCCTTGGTGGTTTTTAAAGGCATAACCAGCCCTCTGTCGTTTTACGGCATCTAGTGGAGAACAGTGCGGTAAAATGTGCAATCCAGCTTATCTCAGGCTGATTCAGCAACTTAGACAGGCAAATGTTTCTGTACACAAAGCTTCGTTAAAATAACCAATGAGCAAGAGTAATTTATATGTTAGTACGATTCAGTGGAAAAAAAATGTTATATGTAAAAAAAACATTCATATAGTATTGGAAGTTTTGCCTTTTCAATGGTGAGCAAATACAGTGTCGCATTAAATGTTGTAGTTTCGTTTCTTTTTCTTTTCTTTTTTAATGAATGATACAACAATGCCTTCTAAAACTACTCCACGTCACATTGTAACGGGAGCTGTCCAGTCCCAAGTGCTGAACGCAGTCAAAACTTTCGTTATTACCTCTGGGCGTTTTGACATAATAAAATATAGAGCGAAAAAGTTGCTAAACATGGAAACTGCGCGTTAGTACAAGTTATTTGTCATTTTTTGTTTTATAAAAAAAAAACTGCAAATGATAGCGTTGCTGAATCGTGGTTTTAGAAATATTAATGCTCAAAGCCAAATAGAATAATACATATTTAAACACTCTAGTGAACTCAGATAGGCAACTGATATTTTGTGAAACATATCATTTGAAATACGATTTGCCTTTTACCGGTAGTCACGCTTTATCAAACTTCATAAATCTCTTAAAAATGTCCAAGTGGTGGTTAAAATGGTGATGCTCAAATAAACCAGAGTAGCGATCTCTGATCCAAGCAACCCCAGCCCCCAACCCCAACACACACACACACACACACAATCAAGCGTGTCACACATCACATTATTGAAAGTGTTTTATATCGAAGATATTTCGAAGAATAAATAACATACAATTATCTAGTGATGCGGAGGTAATTAATTATTCCGCGTCTCACCTGTTGGCTCTCGAACGTCCACGCGCTGTCTGGTAATGACGCATCAAGCACGTTTAGCGTGTCTGTAAAGTTTGTGGTGCTGCTGGGCTGAACGAGGGTGAGATCACTGAATTCTGACATTGGAGAGAGATAGGAGCCAAAGGACTGACTCTGAGACATCATGTCTCCTCCCAGAACCTCCACATACTTAATGGGCCCGTCAGTGTTGAGCTGGATCTGCAGGTTTCTGTTGGGGTTCTTGTATACAGAATCAGTTCGCCTGATACAGCAGCTTGAGCCGCCTCTACTGCCTCGCGCACATTTCACCAGTAGGATGAAAAACGTCATCAGACTCAACAAGGACACAGAAGCCAAAGAGATGATCAGATATAACGTTATTTTACCAGTTTTCTTGTTGGGCTCGATAGTTTTCTCTCTATAGTCTGAGATGGGTTCATGAAACCCGTCCTCTATCAGTATATCCACTGTTACTGTGGTGGACTGGATCGGTTCTCCATTATCCTTTATCTCTATCATCAGTCTCTGAGAGGAGTCATCCTGCTCTGAAACAGCGCGTTTAGTCCTCACCTCTCCCGTGTGTAAATTCACACTGAACAGTGACGCGTCCGTGGCCTCCGCGAGCCTGTAGAAGAGCCAGGCGTTATGACCCGAGTCCGCGTCCACTGCTGTTACCTTAGTGACGAGATGTCCTGCTTTAGCAGAACGGGGCATCCTCTGATGAGGGACAGACCCCATGGATGTGGACGGGTAAATGACAGCTGGTGCGTTATCGTTCCGGTCCAGAATAAACAAATGAACAGTGGCGTTGCTGCTCAGAGATGGAGAGCCATGATCTTTAGCTTGAACTACGATACTGATTAGTTTAATTTTCTCATAATCAAATGAGCTCATGCTGTAAATAGTTCCGTTCTCAGAATTAATATAGAAAAAAGATGATGCTGGAACGTGATTAGAACTTAAATCCAAAACTGAATAAGTGAGTAGAGCGTTCTTGTCTATGTCAATATCACATGCAGACACAGAAAACAATGAAACACCTGCCAGATTATTTTCGTTTACGTAAACGTTAAACGAGGACTGAGAAAATATTGGAGGGTTGTCATTCACGTCAATTACTTTAACATTTACTGTCTTCACAGTTTTTAAGGGTGGGACACCAGAGTCTATGGCCAGTATTTCTACATTATACTCTGAATGAACCTCACGGTCAAGAAATGAGTCAGTTATCAAGGAATAGTAGTTGTCAAATGAGGGTTTCAATTTAAATGGAACATCCGTAGAAACAATTAGCTCAATTTTTCCATTATTACCGGAGTCCAAATCTTTGACGGTAATCAGAGCCACCACAGTTCCCACCGTTGCATTTTCAGGCACAGGGCTCGGTAAAGATGTTAATATAATCTCTGGAGGGTTGTCATTCTCATCTATAATATCTATCTGAACCGATGACTGTCCCTCGAGCTCTGGATTCCCTTTGTCTTTAGCACAGACATCAAACGTATACGTTTTTTTAGTCTCGTAATCTAGTTTTCCAATGACTGTTATTTCACCGGTTTCAGCGTTTACGGTAAACACATTTCTTACAAGTTCAGGCGTGTGCGCACCGAATGAATACTGTATTTCACCATTAGGACCTTCATCCAAATCGGTTGCTTTTATTTTGATCACACTTGAACCAACAACGGCGCTTTCTAAAACAGATGCTTTGTATGCAGCAACTTCAAATTTTGGTTCGTTGTCATTAAAATCTTGAACAATTATTTGCAGTAAAGATGTGCCAGATTTGACCGGATTACCGCCATCTAGAGCTGTTAATATTAGTTTGTGAGCTGCCTGTTTCTCTCTATCTAGTGATTTATCAAGCACTAGCTCTGGTATTTGCCTTCCGTTTTTAAGTGTCTTTAAATTTAAACGGAAGAAATTGTTATTGCTTAATGAATAGGACTTTAGGCTATTGCTGCCAACATCGAGGTCCTCGGCACTTTCAAGGGTAAATCGAGCGCCTGGAGCAGTCAGTTCAGATATTTTTAATATGGCATCTTTAGTATGAAAGTTTGGTGTATTGTCATTTATGTCTTGTATATCTATCTCTACCCTTTGCATCTGTAATGGATTCTCAATAACGATCTGCAGTGGCATTAGACAACTGGCGCTTTGTCCACAGAGCGTTTCTCTGTCTATTCTGCCATTTACTACCAGATCACCCTTCCCCGAATCCACACTGACATACTGTCTATTTGATTCAGATGCTATCCGTAACTTACGCTCGGCGATATCTGAGATGTCAAACCCAAGATCCTTTGCGATATTCCCAACGATAGATCCTTCCTTTAACTCTTCAGGTATTGTGTAGCGAATCTGAGCTCCAACTGTATTCCACAATAGAGAGAAAGCGAACAGCCAAAGCGCTGCCCATTTCCACCCTCTGATCCTCCTGTGCCTCATTTCTCTGTTGCGCTTGATATTCCCATCAACAAATCTTTATCTTATATCCATAGAAAATCAGAATGCTGGTCTCCATTTTCAAATAAACATCTACTCAACGCATCTTCGTTGTGGTGATCAGCCTCATAAAGCGCTCATGTTTCCTCTCGCTCTACAGCTCATCATTGTACTCCTCCTCTGGCTGGGGGAGGGAGTAGATCCCTTTGTATGGTTTAAAGTGTGATTGGTACAGAGCTCAACCCTCACTCATCCAATAGTTTCTTAAATGCATAACCAGACTTCTGTGGTGCTACGGCATCTAGCGGAGAACTGTGCGCTAAAATGTGCAATCCAGCTTATCTCAGGCTAGTGATTCAGCAACTTAGACAGGCATTTTTTTCTGTACACAAAGCGACGTCAAAATAACCAATGAGCAAGAGTAATTATTATGTTTGTAAAATTCAGTGAAAAATAATTATTATAGAAAATGTTTTTAATGTGGTATTTAAAGTTTTGACGTATTCTTTTACATTTTCAACGATGAACAAATGCAGTGTTCTATCAAATGTTGTATTTTTTTTATGAATGATACAACAATGCCTTCTAAAACTTTACAACGTCACATCGTTACGGGAGCTGTCCAGTCCACAGTGCTGAACGCAGTCAAAACTTTCTTTATTATCTCTGGACGTTTCCACATAATAAAATATGGAGCGAACAAGTTGCTAAACATGGAAACTGCGCGTCTGTAAAAGTTATTTAACATTGTTTAATTTATTAAAAACTGTTAGCCTAATGATAGCGTTGCTTAATTGTGGGTTTAGAAATGTTGATGCTCAAGGCCAAATATATTAATACATATTAAAACACTCAAGTGAACTACTCAAACAGGCAAATTATATTGTAAAATATGCACATATATATCGTTTTAAATATGATTACCGGCAGCAACGCATTATCAAACTTTAGAAATGTCTTAAACATGTCCAAGTGGTGGACTGGTGGTTAAAATGGTGATGCTCAAATGAACCAGAGTAGCGATCTCTGAGCCCCCTCCCCTCCCTCCCTCAAAACACACACACACACACACACACACACACACACACAATCAAGCGTGTCACACATCACACTTTTGAAAGTGTTAGTATCTGAGATGATATTTTTGCACTGTTTGGAAGAATAAAGAATAAAAAATTATTTATGCTGAGGTAATTAATTATTCTGCGTCTCACCTGTTGGCTCTCGAACGTCCACGCGCTGTCTGGTAATGACGCATCAAGCACGTTTAGCGTGTCTGTAAAGTTTGTGGTGCTGCTGGGCTTAACGAGGGTGAGATCACTGAATTCTGACATTGGAGAGAGATAGGAGCCAAAGGACTGACTCTGAGACATCATGTCTCCTCCCAGAACCTCCACATACTTAATGGGCCCGTCAGTGTTGAGCTGGATCTGCAGGTTTCTGTTGGGGTTCTTGTATCCAGAATCAGTTCGCCTGATACAGCAGCTTGAGCCGCCTCTACTGCCTCGCGCACATTTCACCAGTAGGATGAAAAACGTCATCAGACACAACAAGGACACAGAAGCCAAAGAGATGATCAGATATAATGTAATTTTGCCGCTTTTCTTGTTGGGCTGGACTGTTTTCTCTCTATAGTCTGAGATGGGTTCATGAAACCCGTCCTCTATCAGTATATCCACTGTGACTGTGGTAGACTGGATCGGTTCTCCATTATCCTTTATCTCTATCATCAGTCTCTGAGAGGAGTCATCCTGCTCTGAAACAGCGCGTTTAGTCCTCACCTCTCCCGTGTGTAATTTCACACTGAACAGTGACGCGTCCGTGGCCTCCGCGAGCCTGTAGAAGAGCCAGGCGTTATGACCCGAGTCCGCGTCCACTGCTGTTACCTTAGTGACGAGATGTCCTGTTTTAGCAGAACGGGGCATCTTCTGATGAGGGACAGACCCCATGGATGTGGACGGGTAAATGACAGCTGGTGCGTTATCGTTCCGATCCGAAATAAACACATGAACAGTGGCGTTGCTGCTCAGAGATGGAGAGCCATGATCTTTAGCTTGAACTACGATACTGATTAGTTTAATTTTCTCATAATCAAATGAGCTCATGCTGTAAATAGTTCCGTTCTCAGAATTGATATAAAAATAAGATAATGCTGGAACTTGACTTGAACTTAAATCCAAAATCGAGTAAGCGAGTATAGCGTTTTTATTTTGGTCAATATCAAACGCAGATACAGAAAACAATGAAACACCTGCCAGATTATTTTCGTTTATGTAAACATTATATGAGGATTGTGAGAATACTGGAGGGTTGTCATTTACATCAAGCACCTTTACATTTACAGTCTTAACAGTTTTTAAGGGTGGAACACCAGAGTCTATGGCCTGTATTTCTACATTATATTCAGAATGAAACTCACGATCTAAGAAAGAATCTGTTATCAGTGAATAATGGCTATCAAAAGCTGGCTTTAATTTAAATGGAACATCCGCAGAGACAATTAGCTCAACTTTGCCGTTATTACCGGAGTCCAAATCTTTGACGGTAATCAGAGCCACCACAGTTCCCACCGTTGCATTTTCAGGCACAGGGCTCGGTAAAGATGTTAATATAATCTCTGGAGGGTTGTCATTCTCATCTATGATATCTATCTGAACCGATGACTGTCCCTCGAGCTGTGGGTTCCCTTTGTCTTTAGCACAGACATCAAACGTATATGATTTGGTAGTCTCGTAATCTAGATTTCCAGCTACTGTTATTTCGCCGGTTTCAGCGTTCACACTAAAAATATTTCTAATAAATTCAGGCGTGTGCGCAGAGAATGAATACTGTATTTCACCATTAGGACCTTCATCCAAATCTGTTGCTTTTATTTTGATCACACTTGAACCAACAACGGCGCTTTCTAGAACAGGTGCTTTGTATGCAGCAACTTCAAATATTGGTTCGTTATCATTAAAATCTTGAACAATTATTTGCAATAAAGATGTGCCAGATTTGACCGGATTACCGCCATCTAGAGCTGTTAATATTAGTTTGTGAACTGCCTGTTTCTCTCTATCTAATGATTTATCAAGCAGTAGCTCTGGTATTTGCCTTCCGTTTTTAAGTGTCTTTAAATTTAAACGGAAGAAGTTGTTATTGCTTAGAGAATAAGTCTTTAGGCTATTGCTGCCAACATCGAGGTCCTCGGCAATTTCAAGGGGAAATCGAGCGCCTGGAGCAGTCAGTTCAGAAATGTTTAATTCGCCATTTTTATTGTGGAAGTTTGGTGCATTGTCATTTATATCTTGTATTTCTATTTCAACTTTATGTAACTGTAATGGATTCTCAATAACGATCTGCAGTGGCATCAGACAACTGGCGCTTTGTCCACAGAGCGTTTCTCTGTCTATTCTGCCATTTACTACCAGATCACCCTTCCCCGAATCCACACTGAAATACTGTCTATTTGATTCAGATGCTATCCGTAACTTACGCTCGGCGATATCTGAGATGTCAAACCCAAGATCCTTTGCGATATTCCCAACGATAGATCCTTCCTTTAACTCTTCAGGTATTGTGTAGCGAATCTGAGCTCCAACTGTATTCCACAATAGAGAGAAAGCGAACAGCCAAAGCGCTGCCCATTTCCACCCTCTGATCCTCCTGTGCCTCATTTCTCGGTTGCGCTTGATATTCCCATCAACAAATCTTTATCTTATATCCATAGACAATCAGAATGCTGGTCTCCATTTTCAAATAAACATCTACTCAACGCATTTTCGTTGTGGTGATCAGCCTCATAAAGCGCTCATGTTTCCTCTCGCTCTACAGCTCATCATTGTACTCCTCCTCTGGCTGGGGGAGGGAGTAGATCCCTTTGTATGGTCTAAAGCACGATTGGTACAGAGCTCAACCCTCACTCATCCAATAGATGCTCTGCTGTTTCTTAAAGGCATAACCAGCCCTTTGTGGTGCTACGGCATCTAGTGGATAACTGTGGGCTAAAATATGCAATGCAGCTTATCTCAGACTTATTTCGTAGCTAGATGGGCAAATGTTGTTATATGCAAAATATAAATTGCTAATGTATCAAGATGAGCATAACAGAGAAGAGCAAGAACAATTTAGTTGTTCTTAAAATTAAGTGTTAAATAATTATTACAGCGAATTTTTATTTTTTTATTTTTTATAAATGATGCAATTATGTCTTCCAAAGCAGCACGCATAAAGTAGCACCTAAAACTGTGCAGCATCACATCGTTACGGGAGCTGTCCAGTCCAAAGTGCTGAACACACTGTCCAAAACATTCGCCATTATATCCGAGAGTTTGTTTCGATATCATAAATATGGTATATGAACTGTGCCTGAGAGACGATACACAACATTCTTACAATGACGGGTATCAGCGCTCTATATCCCCATAAAGAGAAATGCGTCGGGCATTAATAGATCAAGATTACTCATTTTAACAGTACCACTATGAGACATGCACATGCACATATCGTTTTAAAATGTGACTTTATTTTACCGACTGTCACGTTTTATCAAACTTATAAATAACTTAAAATGTTACATTTTTCCTCTACGTTTTTTCTAAATACAAAATAAAAATCCTATTTTTTAATTCTAACTGATGCTGACCTCTGTCCAAAATGGTTATGATCAATTAAACCAGGTAGCGATATTTGTGCCAACCGCCCCGCAGCGGCCGCCGTCACACACACACACACACACACACACACACACACACACACACACACACACACACACACACACACACACACACACACACACACACACACACACACACACACACACACACACACACACACACACACACACACACACACACACACACCGCGCGCGTTTTCATGTTTTATGGGGACTTTTCATGGACATGTTTAAAAAAAACATCACTTAAGAATTATAACCCTCTACAGCATAGCGTTGCCCTCAGGCAACAGAATGTTTTCTTAAGCCCTATGCTCAGTAAATTTTTCTTTAAATGATTGCAACCAATTAGAACAGTCCAATAAGGTTTGGGAGTCACCATCAAGCACCGTTTGAAAGTGGGACGTCCTTTTCTGGCACATGGTCACAGGAGCACATGTTGTGAGTTGAAAGCAAGATTATGTGCTTTAGTGATCTTATTTAAAATGACATTAACTGTACATAAAAAATATGTGTGTGTGTATGAAGGTGTAGAAAAGCCTTCTGGCAGGTTTTATTCATTTTTTATTTATTTTGCATGTTCACAAATTCAGTTTTTCTTTTTGTTGCCTCAAGGCAACGTTGTGCGATAAGGGGTACTTTTCAAGGATGTTTTGAACAATACTTTACAATGGCAAATAATGTGTTACAAGAAGGGAAGATGCAGGGTTCCTGGGTACGCAGGAACACCCAAAGTCACCAAAGTGACACCAACAGAAAGGAACCATCTACAAACTGTTCTCACAAAGTTGGGAGCATGACATTGTCTAAAATGTCTTGGTATGCTGAAGCATTAGGAGTTCCTTTCACTGCACCTAAGGGGCCAAGCCCAACCCCTGAAAAACAACCCCACACCATAATCCCCCCTCCACAAAACTTTGCACTTGTCACAATGCAGTCAGGCAAGTACCGTTCTCCTGGCAACCGCCAAACCCAGACTCGTCCATGAGATCGCCAGACAGAGAACACGTCTCCACTGCTCTAGAGTCCAGTGGTGGCGTGCTTTATACCACTGCATCCAACGGTTTGCATTGCACTTGTTGATGCAGGTGCTCGGCCATGGAAACCCATTCCATGATGCTTTCTACGCACTGGTGTTCAAATAATCTGAAGGCCACATGAAGTTTGGAGGTCTGTAGCTATTGACACTGCAGAAAGTTGGCGACTTCTGTGCACCTCAGCATGCGCTGACCCCGCTCTGGGTTGCTGTTGTTCCCAATTGCTTCCACTTTGTTATAATACCACTAACAGTGACCGTGGAATATTTAGTAGTGAGGAAATTTCATAGGTGGCAACCTACCACAGTACCATGCTTGAATTCACTGAGCTCCTGAGAGTGAACCATTCTTTCACAGATGTTTGTTGAATCGTCTGTATGCCTACAGTAGCTGCTTTATTTTATATAACTGTGGCCATGGAAGTGATTGGAACACCTGAATTCAATGATTTGAAGGGGTGTCCCAAAACTTTTGGCAATACAGTTTATATGGGGATGATTAGGATACATAAAGTACATGATATGACGACACACTACATGATACAAACCTATGTCTCTATCAAATCAAATAGATCGATGAGTTTCAAGTGTTTTTCCCTTTTTACTTAAAGTATTTCTTGACATTTTTGGAGAAAAAAAAAAAGATTTTTGTATTGCTCTCTGAGAATTGTATAATAATAATTTTCTCTGTGATTCTTTACCATTGTTGCACAACATTGCCCTTGGGCAACAAAAAAAATATTTTGGGGTGGGGGGGTCAGAGGAGGAAAATTTTCAATAAATCAATAAAATGTTCCTAAATGAGCCAAGAAATTATGTGGAATAATTTTTTTCCGTGTGCCATCAAAATGCATGCAGTAGCTGTTTTTCTCATGGGGAACAAAAAATGTCCCCACAAGGATTTCGGATATTGCCATCTTTGTGGAGACATGTTGCCCCAATAATGTACACTGTAAAAAATTATTGTGATTTTAACGGTAAAAGACTGTAAAAATGCTACAGTGAAAAACTGTTAATTGGTTAACAGAAAGTTTCCTTACTATATATACGGTAAATAACTGTGATATATATAATGGTACATTTAATGTAATTTTACTGTAAAATACCGTTAAATTTACAGTTTTTGGAAGTGAAAAAGAACAAGTCATTGTATAATTTACAGTGAAAAAATTTAAATTGACATTCCCTCAATTCCCCGTGTTACACTTCACATTTGATGTATTTTGTTTTTAAATAACTGTTTCTTCATAATTTTCTTAGTTTTTTTCTAATCAGTTATGTGCATTAGGGTTTTATGTTACATTTAATGCTGTTAAATTAATGCTTATTGCATTTTTTAAATTTCAACATGTTACCATGATGGTGTTTAATGTTTGTGTGAATGACACTGTGCAGCTTCTATATATTAGTATTAACTTTCTTGTGCAAGCGCTGCTTATGATGAGCTTTGGTTGACCATTTGACTCTTATCACTGCTGTGATTGTTGGCTGTCAGTGTATTACAATGGGAAAATACAGATATTAATACTTCAAAATGTCAGTAAATTAACATTATATCAGATAATGAAATACGGTTTATTGCTGTAAAATTATATACAGTTAAAAGTCTGTAAAACCTAAAACGTTGCTACCGTATTTTTAACAGGAAAACTCTGTTAACCACAGCTGCCAGGGTTTTCCTGTAAATTTAACGTTTTTTTTTTTTTTTTTACAGTGTAGGGTACCAGACCACACACCCACCCATATACACAATCAAGTATGTGCACCATCATGTGTATATCTTACATTGTGTTTATGGACTGTTTAGAATAATAAAATAATCACATAAAAATATTTATTTATGCTGAGGTAATTAATTATTCTGCGTCTCACCTGTTGGCTCTCGAACGTCCACGCGCTGTCTGGTAATGACGCATCAAGCACGTTTAACGTGTCTGTAAAGTTTGTGGTGCTGCTGGGCTTAACGAGAGTGAGATCACTGAATTCTGACATTGGAGAGAGATAGGAGCCAAAGGACTGACTCTGAGACATCATGTCTCCTCCCAGAACCTCCACATACTTAATGGGACCGTCAGTGTTGAGCTGGATCTGCAGGTTTCTGTTGGGGTTCTTGTATCCAGAATCAGTTCGCCTGATACAGCAGCTTGAGCCGCCTCTACTGCCTCGCGCACATTTCACCAGTAGGATGAAAAACGTCATCAGACACAACAAGGACACAGCGGCTAAAGAGATGATCAGGTATAAAGTAATTTTACCGCTTTTCTTGTTGGGCTCGATAGTTTTCTCTCTATAGTCTGAGATGGGTTCATGAAACCCGTCCTCTATCAGTATATCCACTGTTACTGTGGTGGACTGGATCGGTTCTCCATTATCCTTTATCTCTATCATCAGTCTCTGAGAGGAGTCATCTTGCTCTGAAACAGCGCGTTTAGTCCTCACCTCTCCCGTGTGTAAATTCACACTGAACAGTGACGCGTCCGTGGCCTCCGCGAGCCTGTAGAAGAGCCAGGCGTTATGACCCGAGTCCGCGTCCACTGCTGTTACCTTAGTGACGAGATGTCCTGCTTTAGCAGAACGGGGCATCCTCTGATGAGGGACAGACCCCATGGATGTGGACGGGTAAATGACAGCAGGAGCGTTATCGTTATGGTCCATAATGAAAACATGAACAGTGGCGTTTCTGCTCAGAGATGGAGAGCCATGATCTTTCGCTTGAACTATAACACTGAACAATTTTGTTTTCTCATAATCAAATGAGCTCATGCTGTAAATAGTTCCGTTCTCAGAGTTGATATAAAAATAAGATGATGCTGGAATCGGATTTGAGCTTAAATCTAGAATTGAGTAACTCAGTATTGCGTTCTTATCTTGGTCAATATCAGACGCAGATACTGAAAACAATGAAGCACCTGGTGGGCTATTTTCCTTTATATACACTGTGTACGAAGACTGTGAGAATACGGGAGGGTTGTCATTCACATCAAGTATTTTTACATTTAAAGTTTTCCTAGATTTTAAAGATGGTACACCAGAGTCGGTTGCTTCTAATTCTATGTCATATTCTGCATTAGCTTCACGGTCCAAGAGTGAGTCAGTTACCAAAGAATAGTGATTGTCAAATGCTGGTTTTAGTTTAAAAGGAAAACGAGAGGAGATGGTAAGATTTACTTTCCCGTTATTACCAGAATCTAAGTCTTTTACGTTGATTAAAGCTACAACTGTACCGACTGATGCATTCTCTGACACTGGGCTAGGTAAAGATGTCAAAATGATTTCGGGCATATTGTCATTCTCATCAATGATGTGCAGCCTCACTGAAGAACGGCCCTCCTGTTCTGGGCTCCCTTTGTCTTTAGCGCAGACATCAAACGTGTATAATTTTGTTAACTCGTAATCTAGTTTTCCAATCACTGTAATATCTCCGGTTTCAACATTGATACTGAAAATGTTTCTCACGTGATCTGGTGTATGTGCACCGAAAAAATACTGTATTTCGCCGTTAAGACCTTCATCTAAGTCAGTGGCTTTTACAGTTAAGACGCTTGAATCAAATGTCGTACTCTCCTGCACAGATGCTTTATATTGCGATTGTTCAAATTTTGGCTCATTGTCATTAATATCTTGAACGATTACTTGTATCATAATAGTTCCAGATTTGGCAGGATCGCCACCGTCTAATGCTGTTAAAATGAGCTTATGTACAGACTGTTTCTCTCGGTCAAGTGGTTTATCAATTATTAACTCTGGTACTTTCTTACCGTCTTCCAGTGTTTTCACATTTAAACGAAAAAAAGCGTTATTACTCAAAGTATATGATTTGAGACTATTGCTACCAACATCTAAATCCTCGGCACTTTCAAATGGAAATTTTGCGCCCACAGCTACCGATTCAGCTATTTTCAAAACGTCATCATTTGTATGAAAATTCGGTGCATTGTCATTTATATCTTGTATCTCTATATTCACACGATATAACTGCAATGGATTTTCTATAACCAGTTGTAACGGCATCAGACAACTGGCGCTTTGTCCACAGAGCGCCTCTCGGTCTATTCTACCATTGACTATCAGCTCACCATTCCTTGTATCCACACTAAAATATTGCGTATTAGAATCAGAGGCTATTCGTAACTTACGATTAGCGATGTCTGAAATGTCCAGACCAATGTCCTTTGCAATGTTTCCAACAACGGACCCTTCTTTTAGTTCCTCTGGTATAGTGTAGCGAATTTGAGCTACAATTGTATTCCATAACAGAGAGAAAACAAACAGCCAACGCGCTGCCTGTTTCCACACTCGGATGCTTCTCATTTCCACGATGCTTTGAACCTTTCCATCAATGAGTGCTTCGGATATATCCAGAAAAAAACCTAGATTTTCTTCTTTTATTAAGATCGCAAATCCATTTCAATCGAGGGGTCGGTATTGTAGTGATCAGCGTCATAACCGCGAGAGCATTCTCCTTCAGCTCATATCACTCATTGTAGCCCTTTCCTGCTAAGGGAGGGAGTAGATCCCTTTGTGTAGTCTCGCACCTTATTGGCACTGAGCTCAATGCGCTGCTGTCCAATAGAGGACAGAGTCTCTCTTAAAGGCGAACATGCTCATTTCCCCCTGGAAATGATGTTAACTGAATTGTTACAAAATGAAAACACCTATAAAGGTGTACTTACATTTATACGAATGGACAAAATATTGTCTTTACATGTAAAATGGTGACCAATGCCATTTTGATGTTATGTTTACACTAGAAGCAAATTTTACTCTTTTTATATGGAAAGTGTCTTCTTGCATGCAACCACAAAATGATGCTGCGAAAAAAAAGACATTGAATAAAAAGAAATAAAGCTAAATAAAGCTAAATAAAGCTAAATTCAATCGAGTGTTATCTCCAAATTAACTACCTGCAGTCATATAAGTCAATACGAATTTCAAAACAACCAGTTAAAATGTATTCTATTTGGGCAAACTATCAACGTTATGATCGTGTCGCTGTCCACAGCTGCGGTTCTGAAGTGTGCTCAATGAATTGTTCTCAGCACCCTTTAACTCACACAAAGCATACGCACTTAAAATACGCAGTAGACTTTTTTCCAAACAGAATAGGGGTAGAATTATTTATATATATATACATATATATATATATATATATATATATATATATATATACACATATATATATATATATATATATATAATGAACTCGCAAAACACACAATACGATTTTAGAGACATATTTGTTTTTAGATACAAATGACAGCTCTGAATGTAGCAACATTTTTATTTGTCTCACCTGTTGACTCTCGAACGTCCACGCGCTGTCTGGTAATGACGCATCAAGCACGTTTAGCGTGTCTGTAAAGTTTGTGGTGCTGCTGGGCTTAACGAGGGTGAGATCACTGAATTCTGACATTGGAGAGAGATAGGAGCCAAAGGACTGACTCTGAGACATCATGTCTCCTCCCAGAACCTCCACATACTTAATGGGCCCGTCAGTGTTGAGCTGGATCTGCAGGTTTCTGTTGGGGTTCTTGTATCCAGAATCAGTTCGCCTGATACAGCAGCTTGAGCCGCCTCTACTGCCTCGCGCACATTTCACCAGTAGGATGAAAAACGTCATCAGACACAACAAAGACACAGCGGCTAAAGAGATGATCAGATATAAAGTAATTTTGCCGCTTTTCTTGTTGGGCTGGACTGTTTTCTCTTTATAGTCTGAGATGGGTTCATGAAACCCGTCCTCTATCAGTATATCCACTGTGACTGTGGTAGACTGGATCGGTTCTCCATTATCCTTTATCTCTATCATCAGTCTCTGAGAGGAGTCATCCTGCTCTGAAACAGCGCGTTTAGTCCTCACCTCTCCCGTGTGTAAATTCACACTGAACAGTGACGCGTCCGTGGCCTCCGCGAGCCTGTAGAAGAGCCAGGCGTTATGACCCGAGTCCGCGTCCACTGCTGTTACCTTAGTGACGAGATGTCCTGCTTTAGCAGAACGGGGCATCCTCTGATGAGGGACAGACCCCATGGATGTGGACGGGTAAATGACAGCTGGTGCGTTATCGTTCCGGTCCAGAATAAACACATGAACAGTGGCGTTATTGCTCAGAGATGGAGAGCCATGATCTTTAGCTTGAACTACGATGCTGATGAGTTTCATTTTCTCATAATCAAATGAGCTCATGCTGTAAATAGTTCCGTTCTCAGAATTGATATAAAAATAAGATGATGCTGGCACTTGGCTTGAACTTAAATCCAAAACTGAATAAGTGAGTAAAGCGTTTTTATCTTGGTCAATGTCAGATGCAGATACAGAAAACAATGAAACACCTGCTAAATTGTTTTCCTGTATATAAACATTATATGAGGTCTGCGAGAATACTGGATGGTTGTCATTCACGTCAAGTACTTTAACATTTACAGCCTTTAACGTATTTAATGGTGGTACACCAGAGTCGGTCGCTACTATTTCTATGTTATATTCTGAAATTACTTCACGATCTAAAGAGGAGTCTGTTACCAGTGAATAATGATTGTCAAAGGACGGTTTCAAGGTAAATGGAACCCCGGGAGATATATTAACGTTTACTCTGCCATTAACATCAGAATCTAAATCATTTACGTTAATTAAAGCTACAACTGTTCCGACAGAGGCATTTTCAGGCACAGGGCTGGGTGACGATGTTAAAATAATCTCTGGAGGGTTATCATTTTCATCCATTATGTCTATTTGAACCGACGAATGACCCACTAGTTCTGGATTCCCTTTGTCTTTAGCACTCACGTCAAATCTGTATGATTTAGCAGATTCGTAGTCAATATTTCCTATTACTGTAATTTCCCCCGTGTCCGGTTTCAAAGCAAAACATTTTCTCACAGGTTCGGGTGTATGTACACCTAAAAAATATTGTATCTCGCCGTTGTCACCTTCATCTAAATCCGTGCCTTTTATAGTTAACACAGTCGAACCAACGGGAGCACTTTCTCGTAAGGATGCTTTGTATGCTGGCAAGTCAAATTTTGGAGCATTGTCATTACTATCCAAAACATTGATATGTATTGAAGTAGTCCCAGATTTGGCAGGCTCACCGCCATCTACAGCAGTTAAAATTAGTTTGTAGACAGATTTTTTCTCTCTATCCAGTGGTTTAGCAACAACAAGCTCTGGTACTTTCCTACCATCCCCTAGCGTTTTCACATTTAATCGGAAACATTCATTATTGCTTAGCGAATAAGATTTCAAACTATTCATCCCTACATCCAAATCCTCTGCACTCTCAAGCGGAAATCGGTCTCCCAGAGAGATGGATTCAGCTATTTCCAAAATACCGTCTGATGTGTGGAAAATCGGTGCGTTATCATTTATATCTTGTATTTCTATCTCGAATCTATGCAATTGTAACGGATTTTCTATAATAACCTGTAATGGCAAAATGCAGCTAGCGCTTTGAGGGCACAGACTTTCTCTGTTAATTCTGCTGTTCACGACCAACTCACCCTTTTCTGAATCAACGCTGAAATACTGTCTGCTGCTCTCAGAAGCTATCAGTAAATTGCGATTTGCAATATCGGAGACATCAAGACCAAGATCTTTAGCGATATTTCCAATGACTGACCCCTCATGTAGTTCTTCTGGTATAGTATAGCGAGTCAGAGCTCCGACTGTATTCCACAAAAGAGAGACACCGAGTAGCCAAAGTGCTGCCCATTTCGGTTCTCCATTCCTCCCGCGTCTCATTTTCACGATATATTTTCCCATTCCGTTAACATATTCCTCTATTATGAACAATTTAACCAAGAAAAGATCTTCATTTTGTGGTAATACAATCCACTGAAGGTGTCCGTTTTGTTGTAATCGACTTCATAGCAGCATGTGAAGCTACCTCCCTCTAGCTCTCTTCATTGTTCTGCTCCTCTGACAGGGGGACATAGTAGATCACTTTGTACGTTCTGTTACGTGATTGGTGCAGAGCTCTCTCATGTCTCGCTGTCTCCCCCCTCAACTGTCACCGTCCTACCAGTGGGACGTTTGCTATCATATATTTAAAACAATTATATCATAGTCTAAACCTAAAGTAATATTGAAAAACTATATATCACTTGAAAGCTTACAAACTCTAATTTTTATATTTGGTGTCTGATTTTCAATTCAAATGAAATTACAGAAGAAAAATTATTATTTTGCATGACTCATTTCGTAAGGAGACGTCTAAAATAGCAATGCACATAAAAAAAATCGTGAAAGATTGGTGGAAACCTTTGTTTGTTCAGGCCTGAAAATGATTTTAAATATTACGAACCGTTAGATTCTCCATTTGTGATGGGGTGGCGAGCTATAATGCACATCTGTATTCATTTCGCATATCTTGCTTTTGTTCGATGTTGAATTTAAATCAATTACTGCCAAACTGCCCATATTACTCTACTTCTATGTCTAATTCGTGAATTGTATGAAAATTATGGAAATATACAGCTCAGAATCAGATCACTCAAAGTCATAATAATATCATCTAGTGGAACAGTTTGGTACTGCGCCCAAACAAAATCTACTGAAAGCTCATTTTTTGAGATATCAACTACAATTTGGAACACAACTTGTTCAGATTTTTGGCTTTGGTTGTCTTGCAGTTTAAGAGTTCAACTATGTTTTGTAAAAAAAAAAATATATATATATAAATATAAATGAAATATATTTTTACACTACATTTTCATAAGATATTTTTTTCATTTTAATTTTACATTCAAATGTTTTATTTTCACTTCTACAGTAATCTCCCAAGTGTCTTCTTTAAATAAGCGACCAGACAGTCGCTAAGTAATAAATAATAATTTTGACTTGAATACAACCACTCAATTTAGATGTATCAATGTATATTCTACATCGTTCTCAGACTTATACTTCTTTTAAGCTATTTTTAAGAACAGATAATGATGGATAGATAGATGGATAGATGGATAGATAGATATATTAGATAGATAGATAGATAGATAGATAGATAGATAGATAGATAGATAGATAGATAGATAGAGAGAGAGATAGAGAGATAGATAGATAGATATAATTCACACATTTGCATGGATGTGAGTAACATATTATGAATGTCGCTGTCCGGTATTTTGGTGCTGAAACATACTAGTTTCTGTCTTCGTCTCCTCCACTCTCTTAAAAACACACTAATTTCATCATATTATAGCAAATCATTGGCATATTATATGCACACGTTCCACTCACAAATATAAACACGTTAGGACCTGAATTGACCCAAACAACAGACAGTACTGTCAATGCTAACATTTGCAATACAGATTATGTTTTTATACTTTCTGTCTCACCTGTTGGCTCTCGAACGTCCACGCGCTGTCTGGTAATGACGCATCAAGCACGTTTAGCGTGTCTGTAAAGTTTGTGGTGCTGCTGGGCTTAACGAGGGTGAGATCACTGAATTCTGACATTGGAGAGAGATAGGAGCCAAAGGACTGACTCTGAGACATCATGTCTCCTCCCAGAACCTCCACATACTTAATGGGCCC